AGCCTATCATGGACAATGTGTTGGAGCGCTAGCCAATAGAAGCGTAAGTGCAACATAGTGATGTCACTATATTACAGAAATAAACAAAGGACTACATTCGAGGCATTTCAGGCAGTGGGGGGAGAACTTTGGGATTCGAAGACCATTAACTTGCACATCCATACACCACACTACACGAAAGGGAAAACCCCCAAAAGCATAGTAGAGCTTTAAGAAATTACATTTATCTTTATTTTTGAGAAAGGAAATGAAAGGTCTGGCTGTGTGTGATTTTGCTATGTAGTTATCTTTGTGTGACCCAGTCCCAGGTATCCATCACAGTGGAGGACTATGAAGACACGAGGGAACCCAGAGAGCCCCTGCTGTCCCGGACCAGCGCTCACCGTAACTCCACCTCCTCGGAGCCCGTCTCCACCTCCTCCCACTCCTCAGACCACCCTCTGCTCAGGAGGAAAAGCATGCAGTGGGCCCGGCGGCTGAGCAGAAAGGGGGGGCGGGGCTCCAGTGGGGCCAAGGGGGGTCCGGGCAGCGCGGCAGAGAGGATCAACCAGCAGAGACTGACCCTGTTCAGACGCTCCGAGAGGCAGGAGCTCAACGCCCTGGTGAAGACAAGGATGAAACACCTGGGCCTTTCTCCAACCGGATACAGTAAGACAATATGTGTGTATTAAAGTTTCCTGCTCCTCAAGTTCACCAGTATTGTACTCAAGCACAATTTTGAGGGACTGGTATTTTACCGTAATATTGTTCAGTGGTTGTACTTGAGTATTTCAGAATCAGAATCAAATTTATTGCCACGTACGTTTACACATACAAGGAATTTGCTTGATATCTGGTGGTGCGAACATAAACAATCTGAAAAAATAAGTTGCAAAGTAGGTAAAAAAATAAATAAAAATAAGGATAATAAAAAAAAAGTATTTTCAAGAAATAATTTTGCATTAAAAAAGGATGCTCCCTTATATTACTACATTTCAGAACAAAACTGAAAAATGTAATATTTTTGACATTGTTGTATTTGTGCTTTTACTTAAGGAAATTACCTACTTCCTCCATCTCTGATAATGCTGCTGCTTTTGTCAATGTTTACCTAAATGACTTGATTAGATGATTGTGTCCTCCTGTGTTTTTAATAAACCAGTAACAAAAGAGTCACAGATGTGTGCACGGCTTGCTGTTTACCCTGTTCCTATTTTATTTCCTGCATCACTCACCTCTTCTTTTTCCTGTGTCAGATGGGATGACAGACCAGGGGAACAGACATTCCTACATCCTCATCAACCCTTCTCCAGACACCAGACTGGAGCTCCACGACGTTGTGTAAGTACACAAATGTAATCGAAAGTGCTGTAAAAATGAACACAGAAGGAGAAGTGTGACAGGATTCATTTGTCTGTGCCCCACCTGCAGATACCTGATCAGACCAGACCCGCTCTCACTCGTACCCAATCAGGGTAGTAGCAGGAAGTGCAGCACAGGGATCTCGGAGAGCGACAGGTTCGATACGCAGGACAGCACCCATCTGTGAGGGACAAAAGCAAACAAATAATGTGTCGAACACTGCCAGAGAGAGGAGACACAACAACACAGTTTACAGAGAATCAAGAGATGGTGAGATGGAGAGGGAGTGGAGAAGCCCTCATATTTTCCGCCTCGGTGGACTGATAGGTGCCAGTCTTGCATGGACCTTTTCTATAATGATTGGAATGTTTTATTTATGCACCTTTCTATTTTGAATGTGGAAAGCTGCGGACACAGAAGTGCATTTAATGAAAAACTGTATGTATTTATATCTGTTTATGTGCATGTAATGTACTGCATCATGTATGTGCAGTGTGTCTGTGTACTGTATGTATGTTTCAGTGTGTGAATGAATGTGTATGTGTGCTTATGGATCAAGAGCAAGACACTGCCAATGTGAGAGGTACTGCTGCCAAATGGAAGTCAAGGGATGTATTTTTGTGTCCTTCTGTGTCATAGGTGTGTTTTGTCAGACTTAATGCTGTTTGGCCGTATTTGAAAGTGACACTACAATGCACACAACCCCTTTTTATTTTGTGGTCTCCATAAAGCCTTTTTGCAACGTTTTTCCTGTCGCTTTCACAGTCAAAGGCTCACCTATGTTTTACACTCACCAGCAGCGGAGCAATCCAAAGAGCACCAGTCTCTGAATTAAGTAGATAGACAGCATGCGTCGTTAGTGCAGGGCATTCAGACACATCGCTGTCCTCAGTATGTTTTCACTTCAGTTATGTGAGTTCTCTTGAAACATACTTTTTCCTATGTTTTTTGTTTACCTGTTATTTCTCAAAGTCCCACCCTCCCTGCTTCTGTGAGTCAGCGTTAGCCGCCCTACCAACAGCTTGCTTTTCCTGACATGCATGTTAGAGAGGCAGGAGATGGATAGAAACACAGGTACAAATAGGCTACCATAACATAATGCCATTAAGTACAATAGCCCTGCAATAAATACCTCTTTGTGAAGCTTATAATGTTACTTTTTTGGGGGGGACGGGGACAAAGGTGTTGATTAAGTTCTATGTTTTAAAGCCAATTTATAAGCTTTACAATTTAATAGTTGCTGTATTTATTGTATAATAAATGTCCATGTTATTTATTTTCTAATTAGAATTGAAATCAATGAAATAATTGTTTTTTTCAGACTTAATTTCCTTTTTCTGAAAACAAGTAAAAAATATGCCATTCGAGTGATATCAATCTGCTTTTTATATACCTTAAATCAGATGTTTTAAAGAACCTGTGATTCATCTGTTAAATCAAACTAAATCATTTGTAAGAATTAACATTTAAGTCATTTGTTTTCCAAGGTATGTTCTTTTTTTGTCAGAAATTCAGATTGTACCGTTTCACAGAGAAACGGTGCAGCCATGTGGTGGGCATGCTAACCTGCTAAGCTGCCAACTTCACTGCAGTAGCTTTAGTGCCAACAGATGAAAATATGTATAAATTAAAGTCAGTCATTATAGCTTGCCATTGCTTTATTGCAGTTCGGGTGTCAATTTGTGCCATTTCAACCTGAATGTATTTGCACAATTTCACTCATTAGTTTCATAATTGCATCATTTTTTAGTTTTCAATGAATCAGTTGACTGACCTGACACAGTATGTCTTTTGTCTGGTTCATAAAGCTCACGTTTCTGAGCTATTTTTGCTCTGTTATATCAAAACTGTGAATGACTCACCGCAAATGGCTCCATTTCCTTTATTGTAATGTCCCCAGGCTAACCAAAGACCACACAATACTTCAACACAAGACTAGATAAGGCTTTATTGACCCCCTGAGGGGAATTTCCGTTGATGCTGCTGCACAAAAATAGAAATACATACAGATAAATAGATTAAGAAGATTATAGAACCATATGAAGTTAAATTGGTTTATTATCAGTACAAAAGATAGGCTGCTGTCTCCACTGCTGTCTGCCGTCTGATGACCGTGCACAAATGAGCGCCTGATGCTCTACATTTTGCATCATAGTGGAATGAGCCGCCAGCTGAATGTGCTGCCACAGCTCGACGTAGAGCGGGTCAAATGAATTCTAGGGTGGCTTGGATCAGTCATGGCCGCCCACTCCTGAACCCATGAAACAGTGTCAGTGTGCAGCTGCATTGCCAGAAGCTTCTCCCCTGCAGGAGGGACAGCTGGATGAAAGCACTGGAGAAGTCGAAGAAGCAGATTCTCACATTGCTTTTCCAGATGCGTTGTGGGTAAGGAAGGTAGCACTGGCCCTGGTAAGCACGTGATATCACATTCCTCATTTTAATCCATGTTTTCTTCAGTTGTGTTGTATCAATGACTTTAACTATATAACACAGGGGGTCCAAACTTTTTTCACTGAGGGCCACACACAGAAATATGAAAGGCTGGGCCACTCACTTGAGGTGAGGTATATTGCCTCATATGTTAAGTTAAGTTATAGGTTAGCAAAATCAATCAAATGTGGGTAAATTATGCTCCAAACTTGATTATACTTTAAGAAAAAAAAAAGCCTACATCCCAGCTCTCCATAGGGTTTCATTTATTTTCTTACAAAAGTGTTAGCAGCTCGTTCCTTAAAACAGAAGCCTCAGATTGATTATAATAAGGGGAAATTATGTTTAAAAGCTTGTTATGCAAATGCATTTTTTTATCAACTAAGATTTGTTAGAACATTTAAATGTAATTGACTACATATATATTTAGGACGTATAATACAAGAAGAACACACATTTCAGGTGTGGGCCATATTCCAATTCGATTATACTTTTCGAATTTGCTGAGGGCCAATTCAAAATGGACAATGTTGTGGAAACTTTAACTCGTCAACGACCCGGAGATGTAATGGTAATAATAATAATAAAGATGGTCTTCAGCAATCAAACAGAGTTGTCTTTGTGGTCTTTATTCAAGCTTGAAGGTACAGGTTACACAGAGTACAGAGCAGTCTGCATAAGTTGCACACAGAGGGAACTGTGTGTGTGTGGACAACTGTACAAGTGTGATAGTAACAGGAAACATCTGGATGCGATGGTGTCTGAGACCTAAGCATAACAAAAGGTCGAGCAAGGGGCATGTACTGAGTACAGTGTCATCATAAGCGTTGCATTTGGTTTTAGCAGGTAACATAAGAAATTGCCACTACAACAACGGGCCACATTTTGCCCCCAGGCCGTAGTTTGGACAACCCTGATCCAACATGACTCTCTCTGTTTACACTGTTGGGTGTTGGGAGTGCTCACTTTGTTTTTATTTGGCCCTTTGCTCTCTGTGTTGCTTTGCACTCTTACAGTAGCTTTATTTTTAACTTTCCAAAATGTTCCCCATTATGCTTCTTTGCTTTCATTGAGTATAATATTGCCTGATGGAAATATGTTTATTTCTGGCAAGGCTTTACATCCAAGTGAGGCTAACACAAGCCTGAATTATCAAAGTTGCTCGCCCACTTTTTCAAGAAGGGGATGTAGTGGGCGTGGCCAGACCAACACTTTTGTAGGGATTTGTATGCACGCGCCCAGAGGGAGGATTGTGCAAGCTGAGTAGCAGGCAATGGCAGCTCCATCAGTCAGCGTGCTCATCACAGGGGCCAACCGAGGCCTGGGCCTGGAGATGGTGAAGCAAATAGTGGAGGCCCCCCGACCAATGAAGAAGCTGTTTGCCTGTTGCAGGGATCCAGATGGGCCAAGAGCTGAGGTGGGTCTTGTAATTGATTAATGATCACATAACAGAAAAAATATCTTGCGAACCAAAAAAATGCAGTGACTGAGACAAATAATAATAGTCTGCTTACATAACAAGGTGGAAGACCTTTTCAGATCCACTGTGGCCATATCAAATGTTTTTTTATGAATTAAATGTTGAGTGGATTGTGATTATAACTAACTGGTGCTTGTAAACAAACCGCTTAGCGCTGCTATAACTCGTTTGCCAAGCAGCAGGTGGCAAAGGCGAGCTGTCATGTGCTACACATCGATAAATGTGAACCGATCGACCCAAACTCCAAGAAAAATATAAGTCTCTGGGTGGTAGACGTGCCAAAGCGAGACATTACATAGCCTAAATAGGAGCTTGAGCAGATTTCCGCCAACGTTGTATAAGGGAACATGTCTGCCACCAACATGACTCAGCACTTTCTAACGCAGTGTCCAGTGATTCATTCAGATGTGTAAAAACAACAAATACAGGCAGATAGCCATTCCTGTGTTTCTCTACTACTACTACAACTCTACTCTACTACTCATTATGACTGCAACGAAGCCGCATAAGTCCGTGGTTAGTTCAAATGTCTGTTATGAAAGGAGGACAGGCGAGTGCATGTTACCTAAACATGCTAAAAGTGAAATTGAACAAGTTAAAGGGAGATGTTGTTCTCAACACACAGCTGTATTTGTCTCCCTGTCTTGTCTGTGTTTTATCTGTTGCAACTTCGTGCATGCTGCCCTTCTTGGCCAGGTCACTCTTGGAAAAGAGATTTTAATCTCAATGAGTCTTTTACCAGGTTAAATAAAGGATATATAACACCGCGGTGAAGTTAGTTTTAGGTTTAATGTTCGACAGAAATTCACTCTGGATCCAGCGGCGTCCTCATTAATGGCCGAACGTCTGCATTCAGAGCCTCATATGACAGTTTATTAGCATCCGAGCCATTACTTTCGGAGTTTTAAACTAAGGGACCGTCAATAAATTATCGTTCGAGAGACACAAAACCAATGTTTTTTTCAATACCTCGGTCGGTGCTTACTTGCTCATAATGTCTCTTAGGTGGCAGCCTTTTTTTATTTATTACAAATAAATAAACCCATTCATTGATAATTTTTCGTTTTGTTCAATTTCTTCCACAATTGTGAACCATTTGACTCCTAATCCATGACATATATTTTTAATACACCAAACAAATAAGACGCACTATTTTTTTCATTATATTTTAGGGCTTGTTCTAATTTATACAAATCTTGTAATTAAAAAGTAGCCTAGCTGTTATTTCACTTCCTGTTTCAAAAGTGCTGATTGCGGGTATAAAGCTTTAAAATCTGATAGCAACTTTCTGATAGTGACGTAGGTCCACATTTCCGATTTTACGTCATATCGGACGCAAATCTGGATCAGCTCCGTTGTACCCCCGTTTTTAGAGATTTGGGTACGGAGGAAAAGAGAGAGGGTTTTATTTTCTGACGCTGCGTTAGTTCCCCGACACACCGGGGACACATTTATGTATAAAAGACATCAAAAAGTGAATTTGGCATGATAGGTCCTCTTTAAAGTGATCAACAGTGTGGGGGATTACAAATGTCTCTTCTCTGTGTATTTACAGGCTCTGCAAACACTGGCAAAGAAGCATCCTGACATCATCTCTGTCGTCCGCCTGGGTAAGATCTCTCTCTTAGATTCTGTTAAACCCTCCGTCCTGCTACCATGTCCCGACATGCAATGGCTTATGAATAACCCTGGGCTCTGATATTTATCTGACAACCACTGATGCTCAACTTTCTTTCCCTCTATGTCAGACGCAGATGACCTTTGCAGCATAAAACAGTGCGCCCAGCATGTGGGCTCTCTGGTGGGGACGGGGGGTCTCAACCTGCTGATTAACAACGCTGGCATTCTCTTCAGAAAAACCCTGCAGGAAACAAGTCCTGAGGAGATGCAAAAAACCTTCAACACCAACGTCATAGGCCCGATGAGCATCCTTCAAGTAAGTGAGAGGGAAGTCTGAAACACTGAATTTCAATACAGCACTGAACGTTTTTGTAACACTTTGTATTAGGCTCAATTCCATAATGTATTATAAATATCAATCAATTACATTTTATTGCAAGCCCAATATCACAAATGACAGGGGGCTTTACAATATGTCCATAGACCCTTAATGCATTATTACCAGTGCTGTGTAATTAAAATGATAAGCAATCCTCATAATGCTTTAAACGGAAAAAATTCCCAAACTGGGATCAATAAAGTACTTCTTATCTTACCTTATCTTATAAACATAACACACTATTAAATAATGGTATAACCAGATAAGGTCAAGTGTCATAATACTTCAGTACTAGTAGGGGAGAGTGGGGTAAGATGAGACAATTTGTACTTGTTTTGTCCTCTAGGCAAGGATAAATGAGATATAAGTCAGAAGACAACAGCAACCTTTACTTCAGGATGTCTTGTGTCAATCAATCACAAAGGGCCATGAAAATATGACTTCTCAAAAAAAGAGGTGTTGTGGCTCAACTTGAGATTTTCAGAACTGGATAAATTCGCTTTGACTTAACAGTAATTACACCTGACATGTTGAATATTTAATTTGACAAGCAAAACATGGTTTATTGTGAAAGAAAATACATGTACCACTTAACCATGTGCTTTTTTCCATCAGAGTCGAAAAAAGCACCCACCCGTTAAGAATATAAATGATGGGTGCTTTTTTTTTCTGAATTTATGGTCACATGAGCTAAAGGGGTGGGTCAACCCACTGGCTCATCTTACCCCACTCTCCCCTACTAGTTGCTGGTCACACAGACTTTTTTAAATGATCATTTCCTTACTTGTAAATTCACACATTACAATCTTTTTATAATCAAATACGCATTTACAATATGCAATTCATCACAACATATTAGTAGGTTAACAATTATAAAATACAATGTATGATAATTGACCTTACAAGTCATTATAACAGGATGTATATCATTGTTATAAAGCATTACACATATTAAAGACTGCTTACAACTGCCATGATACATTGCTATAGGCAGATAATAACACATGTGTGTAGGTTTATAATGCAAGACAGAAATGGGGGTCAGAGTATTTTCAAGGTTTTCTTTTCTCTTTGCTTCTGGTCATCATTAGGAGTTCCTGCCTCACCTGCGTTCAGCAGCAAAGGCCTGTGGGACGCCAGGGATGTCCACCAGCAAAGCAGCTGTCGTCAACATCTCCTCCACTCTGGCTTCAATGCAACGTATTCAACAAACATATGAGATTATACCCGCCGTCTCCTACCGTATCAGCAAGGTGAGTGACAACATGCCAATTTAGTGATCTGCTATTTAAAGCCTCCATCTTAAACTTGATAAATGGAGCTCCTTTCCCTCCCTCTCGTCTGTCCTCAGGCTGCTCTGAATATGCTGACTATGTGTGCTGTAGAGGAACTGAGGAAGGACGAGATCCTGTTTTCTCTGCTGCATCCAGGCTGGGTGCGCACTGAGATGGGTGGAGAGGATGTGAGTCTGCTGTAATGAAACAGGAAACAATGTAACAATGTACTGGAACCAGTCAGCTCTGATTGATAATTTAATTTATTAATAGAGAAGTATGAGATTACCATCATGTCGTATGATTTCATATTTCACACACATTCTTTTAGGGGTAATGTAAATAATTGAGAATCAAGAGAATTCACAGAAAAAAAACTAAGAAAATGTTGCAACTCTCATGGTGAGAAAATCACTTGAGATTATTTTTGCAACATTTTACGTTCCCTTAAAATGAACCTTCACAATTGCAGCTGTTCTGCATGCTTACACAACGAAGAATGACATACAAATGACATATCTCATGAGCTGTTCACATTGAGGTCATATTGAAAAAAATCATACTTGGATCAAATATGAAGGTGTCCAAGGTCAGGAATGAATATGGCAGAATTGCAGTCTTGTTTTTTAACTCCTTCTTGTGAACTGTGTGTTTCTGACCACCAGGGGGAAATTGATGTTCAGGAGAGTGTGCTGGGTATGTGTGACGTGATGGCCTCCCTGACTGAGAAGCAGAACGGAGCCTTCCTGGACTACAAAGGAAATCCCATTCCTTGGTAGCTTTAAAGCACTTCATAAACTAATGAATGAATCCAAGTGAAATAAACCAATACTTGTTCTAATTACTTTGCTTGTATCATGCTCATTTTACACATAAACATGCACCCAAATGATTTGATACACAATTGGGAAATTTGTGTTGTAATATGGTTAGATTTTTTTCAAAATCACCATGTAGCACTGTTCCACACAGCCACCTTAGCGGTGCAGATCTTCAGCGGGTTGGGGTTATTCCCATTGATGTTGGCTCCAGGGCAGAAAAAGGGGTAAATCTTCTCAGTAAAGAAATCGTTGAAGGTGTAGATGGGCATCATGCTCACAGGGTTGGAGAAGATCACCTGTCCGGAGTCAAAGTCCAGCTGCACCCTGACCCGGGTCAGCTCCCCCTGCAGGTGCAGCGGGGTGCTGGGCCTCGTCATGGCCGAGTACTCGCCCTCGTAGTGCGCGATCATCCAAAAGCCACCTTCGGGACAACCTGAAATGCGGCCTTTCCTGTCGATGGTCTCCTTGACCACCCCGAGCATCCAGTCCGCCTTGTCCCCCACCTCCACCTCCCAGGCGTGGCGGCCCGAGGTGAAGCCCTCTGACCCCAGCAGGAACACAAAATGGCCGAAACGTTCAGGATTGTCCGGGACATTCTGGAGGCATCCGCTGTTAGTGACGCAGGTCAGGTCCGAGGAGAGGGACAACCAGGGGTAGGCGGTGTTGGGGTCCAGGGTGATGGGCGCTGAAAAAATGTTGATTAATTCCTCCCAAATTTTAAGGCACACTGCTTTGCTTAAAAACAACATTTTCCAGAACTTTAACAGACAAGCCTACCAGGTTAAAGGGAAACACTGCCATCTCTTATGTGGATGGCATATAGTCAATTGAATCAATACATTCCTCTGTGAGTGATATTGACAGAGAAAGCTGCAAAATCTCTTGTTCTCCCTGCATCCTTTGATGTGACAGTGACCTATTTTGATGAAAGGAAGAACTAAAGGCTGTTTCAGCTTGGATTTCAGAAGGATATGACCAGCAGGTACCCTTCAGGCGTCAGAAGCTCACACGCAATGCATCTTGGGACACGAAGGCACTGCCAGCATGACAACGGAAACAGGAGGCTTTCTGGGGATGCACTGAGGAGTTTATTGCTTCAATTGACTGATTAGACAAAAGGTCAACATTGTACACAAAACATGGTGAATCTACCTTTTAATAAAAATGGCAGAGCATACTCACTCCACACTTGCCTTCTTCAGGGTCAAACTATTCACTAACACTTGCTACTGAACAAGTGAACAAAATTCAGTTGTTCATGTTACAAAACATCCTGCAGAGAGTCACATAAGTGCTTACTGTACTGAACCAGCTCGGCCATCTTCTCCCACACATGGTACTTGAGGGAACCGACATGCTCGGCCACATTTATAAGAGCGTCCTTCCACACCTTTTCAGGGATATTCGGTCGGATCTGTGCTCTGTGGGAAGAAAAAAACACACAGGAATCCAATACATAACTAGTGAGCTGAATGTGATATACAGAGAAGATGCAGAAGATAATAAAAATGACCTTTTCTTTGTGTTGGCGTAATTCTGAAATCAAGAGAAAGGGGATTAGAAACTGTTTGTATGATAGGATGAATTGAAAGAGAAAGATGTATTACCTTAAGGAAGAGAGCATCACTGGAACCAATCTCGTTCTCAATGGCAATGACAGCGTGAGAAAAGGTGAAGATACTTCTGGTGATGTTCTCTGACTTCTTCTTCGCCAGCTCCTTCTTCTCCTCATCCTCCTTCAGCAGGGCGGCCATCCGAGCCGTCTCCTCCTTCTGCAGGAACTCCCGCAGCTGCTCAAACTCCTCTTTCATCTGCTTTTCTGTGGCCTCAGTCTGGTTCTAGCACACAGAAATAAAGTGAATGTACAATGATATGGCTGGAGTGTACTTATCTTTTATATTTAAGCCTTTGTTTAACTACATGTCCAAATTATATTTACCTTTACTTAGATGTTATTCACCAAAGTACACCTTGAAAAGTAAGTGTCTTGTACATTTTATATTTATCTGGCCAATAAAAAAGTAATATGAACACCATAAAACCATATTAAGAATTTCCTTATTTCCTGTTTTTGCCATCTTAAAAAGCATCACTGTGAAATAGCTGTTGGATTTAATCTTATTTTCCATGTTTTTTCACAGTATCCCTTTCAAATATGATCAATAGGGCTGCTCAAATTCAGAGTAAAGCAAACAATCCTGATTCAAAAGCGTGTTCTTTAAAGTGGACCTATAATGCTATATTTGAATAATATATTGTAGGGCCATTCCTATACAAAACATGTCTGTGAAGTTTTTTTTTCAAAATACCAAACAGATCATGCATTTTAGGCATGCCTCATTTCGCTCTATTTGCTGTATTCCAGCCCTGTCTTCACAAGGGCTGATTCTGTGGCAAATGAGCTGCAGCTGACCACGCCCCCCTGCAAAGGAGGGGGGGAGGCACGAGCGTCATGTTACCATGCTGTTACCATGCCACACAACCCCACATTACCCTGATAGGTGGAGAGTCGCCCATATAGACGGAGCACCTTGTTTCTGACGTCAGAGATATTTCAAATCTGGATCAGTCTGTATCAGATCCGTTGCAGCCCCGTTTTTAGAGATTTAGGTATGGAGGAAAAGAGAGAGGNTTTTATCTTTATAGCCACTGGTGTAAAGTAACTACGTTCATAAACTCAACAAGTACTATAAAAGGGCACAATTTTGAGATACTTGTACTTTACTTAAGTATTTCAATGTTTTGCTACTTTGTACTTCTACTCCACTACAGTTCAGAGGTAAATGGTGTACTTTTACTCCACTACATGCAGGGCTCGAGCTTAAGGATGTCCCGTCGTCGAAAAAAATAGTGTCGGGGAGGATAAAACATTATTTTGGGACGAATTTGGGACGAGAGTTAAAATAAAAATACCCTGCTAACTCTACTACAAACGGCGATGAAAATGAAACCGACTGCACGTTTTGTGTAGCACACAGTTATTAAACCTCCTTGTCAACATGAACACACACGCACAAAACATTTAGCAACCTGCGGAATACACACACACACACACACACACACACACTTCCTGGCCCGCAAATTTGCGGGTCTAGCTACAGTATGTACTGAGTGTGTGTATTTCGCGGGTTGAATGATGTACAATGACAATTGTATCCCGTGGAGGAATTCTGAAATGTTTTACCGTTACATCACAAAAACGCACAGCAGAACCAGACCCTGGAGCGCCGGCCTCTTTATTTACTTACTCCTCTTCATCCCCTATGGGTAATAAGGCTGAGATGAGATTGAGAACCCTCCATCGTATTTAGTCCTTAGCAATATGCTGCGCCCCTCCCCATGTAGGGTGTTGGGGCAGAATCTCTGATCCGCGCCGTTCCTATATGAGCGGGTTCTCAAAAGAAGGAAAAATTCAAAGCAGCCAGGATAAGGGTTAAACAATAATCTGCTTTAATGGCAAAATCATACAAATACTTCACCTAATCACGAAGCACTCTGCAGAGTACTCCGGGCTCAGGTTCTACCACCGTGTGAGACACGTCTCAGGAACGGCAAGTCAAAAACAAGAGCGCCGATCTTCAAAATGATCACAACATTTATACAGAGTTCACTTCTGAGCGAGCTAGACAGTGAGTTGGCAGTATTCCATTGGTCGGTTTCACTTCTGGGCGGGATCCCAGGTAGTGAGTCAGTTTGTTGATTCCATCTGTTGCTTCACAGTGTATGTGTGTGTGTGTGTGTTTCGGTGTGTGTGTGTGTTTGTCCCTCTGCCCTCAGGCAGATCCCCCAATCAATGATTTGGAGTCATGACAGAGGACTCTTTGACAGGACACATACTCATTCCCCCTAAACATCTTCAACACACACAAACATCGTATCATGTATCTTATCACACAACAGTCACCTGTTTTTCTCTATGAAAGCCATATTTGTAAATA